TTCGATTATTCGTCAATGCGCTGGTCCGGTGCCTGACGGATAATCGAGGTTCTACTGTATATTGAATTTTATCGTTTAATATCGACGATAAACGTTTAATGTGCTGACGTCATTACCGATTCAAAAATGCTGGAAGTGGGTTTTGGTGGATCCTCAGGATCGTTTAGTACTGCTCCCGGTTCTGGAAGTGGATCCTCAGGATGGGCCAGGGCATTGTCAAACCCAGTCTGGTCCATCCTGAAGATCCACCAAAACCCACTTCCAAAATCGGGAGCAGTTCTGCACGATCCTGAGGATGCACCAAAACCCGCTTCCAGAACAGTATGCATTCGTTAAATAGAAAAAATATCTGCAAAAATCGGGCGAAATCGACCAAAATGTGATCATATCGGAATTTATTTGTTTACATGATAAAAAATGTTAAAGTCGGTCATTATTGGTTATTTTTAAAACCGTGGTTAGCCCCTGGACTAAATGTATAGAATTAATAATACAAAACTGTTATTTCTACACCAATTTATTGTAAATTTAGCTACATTGACTGTGATATGAATGGTTTGGAGCGAAAATGTAATACAGAAAAGTTGAGCGGAAAAATGTCGATGATGAATGAGCGGAAAAGGGATAGCTATATAGTAAACGGTATAGTAAGATAAAGTGAACTTTATAGCTATCCCTTTTCATTTAACATTTTTCCGATGCCTCTCTGGGCATAGTAGGTTAATTCGGTGAAATTAGATGCAGTGGATCTGGACTTTATAAAGCCATGTTGCTTTTTGGTGATTTTGTCCTGTACCAGAGACAGAAGTTTTACGTTCACCAAATGCTCAAAGAACTTCGCCACAGTTTGGAGCTTAGCTATGCAACGGTAGTTTTCAATCTTCGATCTCGCCCCCTTTTTGAAAATGGGTGATACACTCGAGTGCTTCCATTTGTCAGGGAAATGGCCAGCTGACAATGATTCATTGAAGATCTCGGTGAGTGGAGCCGCCAAATGACTCGCACAATTCTTCAGTATCAACGGGTGCATACCATCGGGACCCGTACCTTTCTTGGTGTTCACGGCTTGTAGCTCTTCAAGCACAAAATTTATGTCGAGCTGGAAGTCCTCAGATTGCTGTGACTCGTCGGTAAGAGATTGTTGAACGCCTTGAGTCGTTGAGTCATCGTAGTTGCTACTGAAGAAGTTTGCAAACAGATTGGCCTGTTCTGTCTCGCTTACCGTGCGCATATCACCAAATTGCATGACCTTTGGTTTGTTGTCGGTGCTCTTCTTCGAATTGACATATTGCCAAAATCTCGATGCGTCATACTTGAGCGAGGATTTCATTTTCTCCACGTAAGCGTTGTACAGTTCCGTGTTGAGTTTGTCAAATTCGCGAGACGCCAAAATGTATTTCCATTCATAGTCCGGTTTAAAGCCAAACCGTCTGTAACGTTTCCATGCCTTATCCTTCCTATTTTTTAGTGTAATTAGGAATTTGTTTTTCCATGGAACAACTCGGTAAAATTGACATTCGCCAGACTAACGGAGAGACACGAAACTTAAATGAGTAAAATTAGAACATTATTCAACAATAATAGGAAAATTTAGTTGGAATCATAATGTTGTCGTCTTCACTATCGACTGACCATTCCACATGCGGCAGATTAAAATCACCAACAAAAATAACAATATCTTCAGGATCGATAGCGATTTTGTGCATGGATGCTAAATGTGAATCATAGATTGTTTGCGGTGAATTTGGTGGAATGTATGCACAGTAGATGTATATAACGTGTGATTTAGTAGTGGCTTTTACATAAACGTATTCCAAATCGTCGGCACCGTCCATTTTTATCTCTTCACTGGAGAATTTTTCATTTTTGGTTGTAATAAGTACACCACCGCCGCGTTGAAAAAGTCTATCCTTACGAAAAACAGAATACACCGTGTAACAAATTTCAACTTTTTCTTCTGCACATGAGAAATTCCGATTGCTTGTTTTAGAGGACCAAAAACCAAGCACTTTTGCATCATTAGTTTGTTCGAAACCACGTCTAGACTTTTTTTTATCGACACATATAAGACAAATTTCAGGCCAAAATGAGCAAATCACAAACATGAGCTTCGGTTTGACAGGTAAAAGCAAATAATTTCTAAATTTTCTGCCTTTCAACATCTAGTATGATCCTTTACAAACATTTTGGATACTTACATGACCAAATCGAGTGATGTTTTCACATATTTCTGGCCGCATATTTGGTTGGTTCGAATTCGACTCTGAAAGAATCGACTTTTGGCCAAAAATCCTTAAGTATAGGCTTTTCAGGGATGGTCTCTTGGCGCAAAGTTATTTTTTCTCGAAAATATGGGAAGTCTACCCAGACAAAAACTCTCAAAATTGACTTTTCGAGGTACCTCCCGAACAAAAGTTACGTTTTTCATGCATTTTGCTATGAAAATAACATTTTTTGTTCGGGAGGTACCCCAAAAATACACTATTTGGATGAGTTTCTTAGTAAAAAATTAATTTTTTCGAGAAATATTGGGAATCTTCCCACACAGAATCTCTTATAAATGATTTTTGGGGTACCTCCCGAACAAAAAATGATATTTTCATAGCAAAATGCATTAAAAACGTAACTTTTGTTCAGAAGGTACCTCGAAAAGTCAATTTTGAGAGATTTGGTCTGGGTAGACTCCCCATATTTTCGAGAAAAAATAACTTTGCGCTAAGATACTATCCCTAAAAAGCCTATATTTAAGGATTTTTGGCCAAAAGTCGATTCCTCTATAGTTGAAATCGAACCAACCAAATATGCGGCCAGAAATATGTGAAAACATCACTCGATTTGGTCATGTAAGTACCCAAAATGTTTGTAAAGGATCATACTAGTTGTTCAAAGGCAGAAAAGGTAGAAATCATTTGCCTTTACCTGTCAAATCGATGCTTATGTTTGTGATTTGCTCATTTTGACCTGAAATTTGTCTTATATTGTCGATAAAAAAAAATCTAGACGTGGTTTCGAACAAACTAATGATGCAAAGGTGCTTGGTTTTTGGTCCTCTAAAACAAGCAATCGGAATTTCTCATGTGCAGAAACATGTGTTGCACGGTGATATGAATCGTCAAAAAATTCAGCATCATAAATATCATTTCTGAGCCATGTTTCAGTAGCGTGATCGCAGGAAGCGGTGGTATAGTCATTTCCATTAATATCTGTTACGAAGAAATGTCAAAGCAAACAAGACGAAACATACCCTTGGTGGTTATGTATCAATGGAGCCAAACAAATGAATTCTCATTACAGATCCCGCTACATCATGTGAAAAAGTCATTGAATTTGGAAGGAAAAGTGGAGCTCTGGCTCAAAAAGGCCTACTTTTTATTCCAAAATGTTGATTCCAAAAACGCACTATGTCGGAAGATATGCGGTAGTTGACGTCGAAATATTCAGTGCACGATTTCCGGGCGTGTTCGGATTCTATCAATTTGGGATAAAAAGTCTCTGAAACTGCTTTGGGCGAAAAAGTCATTGACTATGAGAGAAAAAGTGGAGGCTTTGGCACGAAAAGACCTACTTGATTGCGTTGCTTCTTCAAGATGTTCATGCTTATTAAACTCATAATCACCGCGGAATTATTGTCAAGTTGTGTTTAGAATTTGATCGAAGAAGAAATGTTTTTTGCTCAATGTTTTTTTTTTCATAGCTTAGCGGCATCTGTGATTTTCAATATTCAAACCGTCTCTTTATTCTCAGGAGTGCGTCCCGAAATATGTCAAATGAGTTTGATATCACAGATATTAATGGGAATGAGTATACAAAAGAAGCGTTTGTGTTTGCTGCATATGCTACGACAGTTTTGGTAATAGATTGTACACACAACGCAGTGTTCATCCGATGTGCATGACTCTAGTTGCAACATCGGCGATGAAAATCGTGACGATTCCCTTCGTAGTGACCTGTGCAGCCGTTGTGCTGTCTCTTCACGACGGGTTGAGGCTGACGTTGAAGACAACAGCTCTTTTGGCACAAATTTGGCTGGTTGCGTTGGCGCCGACCCCTCCGTGGGCGCTGCAGTGGCCGTTTGTTGCAATGCCGGCTCGTTGCAATCATTGCCGGTTCCAACCGTTGGGTTTTCACTGTGCCACTGGAGTTTTTTGAATTTGGATGAGCGGGCTTTGGTTTCAAATTTTGTAGTTGCGATCGAATTTGTTGATTGTCATGAGTTTTGGGACGGTTTGCCGGTGCAGATGACTTTATAGACTTGACCTGAAATTCGGTGGCTTTGATTTTCTTGGGCCAAATACCTGCCGCTATTACCTTGTCAAAGTGTTCGCGAGGAACATCGAGTTTGAATGACACGAATGGCAACTTCATTTTGTTGTCTTTCTTCACGAGCTTGGTTATTTTGAAATCACTTGTCAATGGTCGGACGGTTTCAATGCTATTCTAGTGATTAATAATATCCGTAGGCTCGGTTGTCGGTAGAAATTCAGTTAAATAAACCGAGCGCATCAATACAGTATCAACGGGCTTTGAATTTGCCGTTTTGTCCACTGTTCCCGCTGGCATCACGACGAAAAACCGATTTGCACAGCTGTGAAGTGTCACTTTGCTCTTCATCTGAAGAGTTCAGTTCTTCCGAATCAAGTCTGGGTCGCTTGTTTTTATTCCGCCGTGAAATGTTTACATTTTGCAAGTCTCCAAGCGGTAAACCCGAGTTTGACACGTTGTCCGATATTTGTTGATGAATTTTAGTTGGCGATGGCGTTTCATCCATGGGCTCAGTACGTGAGTTTGCCGATTTATTGGCTTTGTCCGAACTCACGGAGCTAATTTCGTCAGGATAAAGTTGTTTGAGCTGGTTTAATTTGGTCCATATTGGCTCCAGCATTGTCAGCAGCTCAGCGATTTGGCTTTTAACCTCACAGTTCGCTGTCAACGCCTGTCCGAGCTCCTCCGGCGCCCCGGTGCAAAAAATCAAAATGCGCCCCTTCAATTTTTTTCATGAATTTTTGAAGTAAAAAAACTGGATTTTGAAGTTTATTTATAGAAACGAATAATAATAAATTCACATTATGTTTTCATATATGATAAAAATAATGAGCTGGAAAATCTAATCAAAAAATTTGGCAAAATATAAAACTTTGATTAATCGAATGGTTGTTTTCTGGCTTTTTTCGACGCAAACTCGCCAATAACATCGTCATATTTAATCGCATTTGCAGTTTCATGCTCAATGGAAATTATTGCTAAATCGTTCAACCTGTCTTGAGTCATTGAATTTCGCAAATAATTTTTAACGATTTTGAGCTTTGAAAACGAACGCTCGCCAGTTGCAATAGAGACCAGACTCCTGAGTAGAATACGATATGCAATGACAGCATTGGGAACGGAATTTTCCATGTTCAACTTCATAATTGAATTTAAAATGTCAATGACGTGGACGACGTTCTCGTGCTGTGTCAAAGTTACAACAAAGCTGAGTTCACAAAACAGGTCATCACCATCAATGTCCGATTGTCCGTCACATTTAAGAGCATGTTCAAGCTCCTTGCAAGATTTCAACAAATTCCCATTTTGTTTATTCTCTTCAAACCGTTCAAAATCATACAAAAATGAAAAGAGATGACTGAATGATTGAAGTGCCTCGAAAGGGACAATGATTGCATCCGAAGCAACCTTAATTATGAATAAAAAAAACATTGTCTTTGAATTCCACTTTGGAAACTACACATTGCCTCGCAGCAGGTCGCTTCGAGCGTCCTGTGAATTCAGGTTGGATTTGAATAATTTTACAAATCTCTTTTGCATCATCCAGTACTTTTTGACAGCCATAAGTGGAACAAGATTCCAAAAAATGCATAATACTTTTGAGAGATATTATGGCAAAAATTATTGACGAATTGAAATGAATATAAATTTGATCATTACTCACAAAAACGATAAAAAATGCCAAGCAGCACAAATCGATGCATGTGTATGCCATCGCGCCGAACAATTGGCTTTTCTGCAATCTCAGCAATGATTTTTGTATATTTTGTGTGACGAAGTAGCGGCGGAGTTTTGTTTATTGTTTACACTTGTTACATTTACCGTGATAAAACTCAGTGACTCCGCTCTGTTCATATTGCTACTCTCTTCATAAACAGAACACAAAATATAATAGAGAGTGTATTCATATTGTTCTCGCAGAAATGCATTGCTAATTGATATTTTTTATATGGAGCGCTCTGCTGAAAATATATTTTTCGAAAAACCGCTCCTTTCGGCGCCCTCGCGCGCCTTTTTCTAAAAAAAACTCCCAAAATAAAGCGCTCGAGCGCCCTTTTTTTAAAGCAATTCCTAACATGGAATGCGCCGAAGGCGCTAGAGCGCGTTTGTTAAAAAGATGTTTCTTCAATAGGCGCCCCGGTGCGCCGCACTCTCGCCCGGACAGGCGCTGACTAAGATCCAGTGATTCTTTGAACAAGTATCGGTTGGTCCCGATATTAGACCTTTAACAGTTAAGCTAATGTGCTTAGATTTTCCTCGAGGAAAACGAGGACATTTTTTTCGAAACGAAAAAAGAGGACATTCCAAACATTTATTTTTAAATGAAGGATGAAATGAATTTAATTATAAATAAATGATGATAAATAGTCATTTTATACAATTTGAATTTCATTTTTCTTGATTTGCCCCTCTTATTTTACGGATTTTTAAAGAAGATTCGCCCGAAAAAACGAGGACATTTCGATTATTTAAAAAAAAGCGTCAAAATACAATAAAAAAAGAAGTGTAACGTGTAATCATATGGAATAAATAATAACCTAATTGCCCCATGGACGATTATCTTCTAAATTGGTCCAATCGGGTACTCGATTCAATTTCATGTAGTTTTCCTTTGTAAGGCCTTTTGTTTTGAGCATTTCCATGCCGCCATAGATTGAACCGCCCAACCTTTTTTTTTAAAATATAAAGATGAATGGATTAGAATTTCGTATCAAAGCGAAGAAAGAAATTAAAAAAGTCTATGGACACTTACCACGCTGCAAAATTCTCTTTTGCCGGCACACGATGGAATTTGACGGTGTTTGCGTGTAATTTCTCTTTGTAGACATCTGTTTTCAATAGAGCGAGTAGTTCATTTTTCAGCCGAGCCATCAGACCTTGTGCCATGGCGGTGCCGCCGATAATCACTAGATTTTCCAGCAACGTCTTACGCATATCGATGCCACAGGCAACAATTGCATCCAATATGATATACGGCAAGCCCAAACGATCATTGTCCTCGGGAAACAAAACTTCATACGCTGTTTCTCGTAATTTTCCCGAAATCGTTATCGTTTCTTTTCCGTGAATCGGGTAATTTACATCAGGTGGCGGTGTGACCTCTTCGCCGTTTTTATACTTTTGTGATCGTTCGTACGTGGTGACGAAGCATGTTCGAATTTTGATTTCTTCGACAACTTCATCGGTAAGTAAATCGCTAGCGACACCATTCTCTAGTAGTTGCCGTTTAATTTCGGCATGTACAGCTTCGGCGGCCAATGGTTGTGCCTGCCATGAATGCAACACTTGAATACCACTATACACTGGAATTACTGTGGCTTCCTTTTGGCCGATATCAACAACTAAAGCCGTGTCAATCGCCAGCGTGGACAACGACACCAAATGCGACGGCACAAACAGTATCGATGAGATTTCAAAGTGTCGGAACAACACCTTTGCGAATACATCACGAATCTCTGTCGGACACAATACACTTTCGACAATCACCACTTTTCCCTCTTTTGGATTGACTAACAAATGCTTGAAGAACAGTGTCTGAATGAAATCTACCACTTGATCGTAGAACTGAAGCTGATTACTGTAGTTGAAGAGTGATTTTGATGTGGTTGGTGACGTTCCCGATATCACTTCGGTCGGAATGATACTCCGTGGGAACGGTTCTTGTACAAAACCTAGCCTGAAATGTTTCGGTAGTTTTTTTAAGTTATTCCATCATTCTACAAGGTAACAGAGCGTTTACTCACTTTGTGTAAGCCGAACCGATGTCGAATACAACGGGAGCTATCTCGTACACGGGCATTTTTCGGTATTTTAAGCTAGAAAACAAAAAGTTTAGGCAATTTGTCTCTCAATTTCTCTTGCGTTGTGTTTCGTACAATATTTGACATTTCTTTCACTTGATGATTTCATTTGGTTACACGAACGAATGCACGAACGCACACCCATACACACAAACAACCGTATTGTTTAACAGTGTAGCAATTCGTATTGCAGCGGTAAATGTCAGTTCAATTGACATTTGGCAAAAACAAGTATATTTTTATTTGTTTACCAGCAGCACATAATATTGTTTTGTTTGTTTTTTTTTGCGACTAAAGATAGAGAACGAATCGAAATTTCGCATGGATTTTTGCTAAAATAAAACGAAAATGGATGGAAGTTCATTGGAGTATTTTTGCCGCGTCTGTGCAACGGAAACAAATCATTATCATTTATTTGAAACAAATCATAATGGAATCCAGTTGGCCGAGACGCTAATGCACTGCTTGAAACGGCCAGTGAACAAAATAGACGGCCTCCCGAAATATATTTGCCCGAATTGTAAGACGAATTTAATATTCACCTATGAATTTCATAACCTTTGTGAGGCGAGCGAGCAATATTTTATGAAAAGATTACAACCGCTAAACCACCAAAATACCGACGAATTTAAGACATTTCCAAATGTTGAACCACCATCAATACACGCTATAAATGAAAATGCAATCGATGCACACATAAAAATTGAAAACGACTATGAATTGGGAACGACAGCGGTAGCGGCGATGTCGGGGATTCTTCAACCGCCGAATATTGTTGACGATGGCAACGACAGTTTGGAGTTTGATATTCAGCCAACCATGCTCGTCGCTTATTTGTTTGGAGGAAAATTTTGATGTAAACAATATCAAAATGGAGAAGAGTGATGAAATCGGGAGTAAATCATCGCAAATGCCAATTGGTCGGTTAAGACAAAGACGCAATACGACGAAAGCGAAAGCCACACAAGCTGTGACGCTACGACGAAGTCGACACAAAGCCAATGAAGAAGATAAAGTGTTTGAATGTTTCGAATGCAGAAAAACATTCCAGCTGTTGAATGACCTGCGACAACATATGAACGAGCATAACAACATACGGAAGCCATTCGAATGTACCACGTGTAATATGCGTTTCATTCACATAAACAGTTGGTTTCGGCATCGGTCGAGACACACCAAAAACATTCATGAATGTGAATATTGCTCAGAGTCATTTAACACACTCACCGCTGTAAAGCAACACATTCAGGATATGCACAAGGATCATCTAAAAGCCTACAAATGCGATCAATGCGCCGAGGAATTTGCTTTGCATTTCCTACTAGTGTTACACCATGAATGGCATAAAAAAGCCAAACCGATCATCTGCAGCACTTGTAACATGGTTTTCTTCAATGAACGCAAATTAAAAGCACACATTCGAGACAATCATGCGAGTATGGATCAATCGGATCAAATTCACTATAAATGAATTCATTTTTATCAATTTTTCTCTTTGTTTCTCGTTGCAGACCATTTGTGTGCGGAGTGTGGAAAATCCTTCAAAACTATTCATTCGTTGGCCAGCCTCCAGATGCTGCACACCGAAGAAAAGCCCTTTGCCTGTGATCTATGCCCAAGTAAATTCAAATGGAAAGCCGCATTACGAACTCATTCCCTCGTTCATTCTGGGCAGAAACAGCACGTTTGCGACATTTGTGGCTCATCATTCACAACCAAAGGATCGATGAAAAAGCATAAAAGTTAGTTGCGAAATGATTCAATTCGGTTCTAGCTATATAGTTTAGTTTATTGAAAGTTTACTGACTTTTTGGCTTGTTTTATCTGACTTTTTTGCAGGAATACACACCGGTGATCGACGATATCAATGCGACACTTGCTCGCTAAGATTCTATAGTAACGACCATTTGAAGCGCCACATAAGAACCCATACCGGCGAGAGACGTATGTGCAACAGAAGAATTTTTAATTTTTCTCTCCTTAAAACATTCTCTATTAATGTTTTGATATTTTTTCGTTCATTCATCATTTTCAGCATACATTTGTACATACTGTCCGCGTTCATTTTCGCAAAGCAACGATTTGACAAAGCACTTGCGTTCGCATGTGGGCCAAAATATGTATCAATGCAGTGATTGCGGTGAATCGTTTCGACTTCAAACCGAACTACGAAAACATTCCTTCACCCATTACAATAAGGACGATAATTCAGATACGCTCAAAATGGAAGAGCAGCAATAATTATAATATAACATCGATTGTAGTCTGTAGTCGCCTCAATTTTTGACAAAATTGTCAATAAAATATACATGTAAATAAACAATTGTCTGATGGCAGCATGAATCCCAGCAGAGAGCCTTTAAATTTGTTTTTGAAAAATGATTCGAAAAGACATGGTGGGGATTTCGGGTGGAGTTGATTTAGCGGTGGCCGGTTTCTTGTTGAAGCAAAAAGGTATGGCGTGAAAAGTGAGAGAAATATAATAAAGTGCACAAACATACTGAAGATCTTCTCTTTTTCTCTCTCATCGTGTACAGGCTTTGATATTCGTGGTGTTTTCCTGAAGAATTGAGATTTAGTTGACGTTTCGTTACTGTTCGAGTTACTGTTCAGCCGAAACAGACTGGGAAGATGCACAATATGTCTGTGATAAATTACAAATCCCGGTTCAATGCATCGATTTCGTGAAGCAGTACTGGACCGATGTGTTTGAGTGAGTTCGTTTGGCGTTTTATTGAATATGTATTCAATTATAAAACTAAAATCTTTTGTTGCCATCACCGCAGGAACACTATGAAGAAATATCAGAATGACCAGGCACCGAATCCGGACGTTTATTGCAATAAACACATAGAATGTGCCGCATTTTATCGACACATCAAGGAAAATTTAGCAGCTTAAACAGATGCGATAGTCATTACGTCTAACATTAAAGCAGAAGGAAGATATGGATATGGTTTATTGTTTATCACTTCGGTGAAACCGATATTGACATTCTGGATGACTCTATCAACTCTTGATGAAGAGCAAAAACTGTATACTAAATTCAAGGATTATTCAAAAAAAAAAAATTAAAAATAAGAAAACAACAGTTAAAAAATGGTACACAAGAGATTTACAATTCTAGAAGTCAAATTTATTTTTGATTTTGGTAAAATTGTTTCGAATTTTTTGCAAAAATGTTTCACCGCAACCATACGTACTCACGCTTGAAATTTAAGAGGTGGTAAGACGAAAAATTCGCCGAGGGTCAAAAAAATTCAATTGTAAGAAAAAAGCTAAAAAAGGTCTTGAGTTTCGAAAAAAGATTCTATCTAGTGTAAATTGCTGTCCGGAAAAAAGTGAAGAGCTAAAAAAAAGGTCAACACATTCATTTTTCAGCAAAAATCGCGTACGGTCAATTTTTTTCAGAGGGGGTCAAAAATACCCTTAATACCCTGCGTGAGAATCTATGACCGCAACCATGTTAATTTCAAATCAGAACCGAATTTGCCTCCATCTTTGCTCCAAACGCAACGAGGATTTCTGTTTTGCGTGGCATTTTTTATTTTCTCTGAAAAGTTTCTTATCCTACTTATCCACAAGGTAAACTTCTTGAGTGATTGAATTTGTGAAAATAATTCGGGAATAAGATTCCAAGTTGATGATGGAATTTCATAGAGCGTAGTTTCAACGCTGACTTCCTCAATATGATTCAACTCAGTCAGTATCGGAAATAAGCTATTTATTCCATCCCATACATTGGTTAGTATAACAGATTTTAAGTATTTATTCTCAGATATGAATTCGAGAACATACGGTTTGATGGTTTTATCTTCAAAACATGAATATTCAAAGCGTTCAAGTTGGCTGAATGTGAATGGAATGTTTGTTATTTTGTGAAATGGTAAATTGAAGTCAATAACATTTTCGAAATGATATCGATCAGCATTTTTAATATTTGAATTAAAATGCATTGTTGGTGATAAACGTTTGAGGTTTGGTAGACTGAGATCTTGAAAAATAATATCTTTTATGCTGTACAAATTTAGTTTCAACTCTTCTAGCTGTGGATTGAGTCTTAGCATCTCTTTAATTTCATTTTCTTCAAAATTCGTTGCTCTGTTGACATTTAATTCACTCCTCTGGTGAATTCTGCCTCCAAAAAGAGACAGTTTTTTCATCTGTGGTATACAAATGGGTGTAAATTCTTCCGAAAAACAGCTAAACCAGATCTGTAGCAAATTCAAATTAGGGAATACAGAACTGAAAGGAAACTCACAAATTGGCGCTTGATAACCATGCAAATCGATGTTCTCAATATTAATGAATGGGTTTCGTATTTCTTTGAATAAAATCATGGGTGGATGTGTCAACTCTAAATGTTTCAGTGTCTTTGAACAATACTCTGCGAGATAATTTTCAATTAAAAATACAAATTCTACAGGCTCGTATCTGCCCTTGTAAGTTGAAAAAAACAAGTGTGAAACAAGATGGCCGAAATTTCTGAGAAGCTTCAATGCTTTGCCACGGTCATCTACATCGACATCTGGTTGGACAAACGAGCCTCTGGAAAATGCATATAATTTAGTATTTTTTTAAAATATATGCAATGTTTTTCCTAAATACCTTTGAATTTCCGAAATTATATGTAATCTTCCTTTGCCATATTTTCGTCTATAGACACCACAAGCTGCTGCATATAGTTTTTTACTAGTATCCGCCAAACTGAGTAAATCCTCCCATTCGAAAAAGTCAAAAATCAGTGTCTTACAATCATCATCGATGGTTGTGAGATTCAATGGTTCTAATAAACTGGATGAGTTGCAATTCATTGTACTTAATTACCAAATTATTATATATTTCATCTATTAAAAGCAAAATATTGGATGATATTCTGGAAAAAAAGACTTTATTCCTCAATAGAGTGAAAGACAAATGTCAAAACTGACATTTCATTCAATTGGTTTATTTCTTTTGTACAGTAAAACCTGTCAATAACGGAATCCCATGGGGAAATTTTTTTTTCCACTATTGACACGATTTCCACTATTCACAGTTTCCGTTATTGGCAGGTTTTTGAGTCGATCCAAACATGATTTTCCATTATTGGGGGTAAAAATAAAGAAAAAAAGCAATGCATACATTTTTATGCGCGTTTAATGATCAAATCAAGTGATATTATAAGCGTGAAAAGGAAATACTGAAATAAAGGTATTTTTTAATAAATGATTGTAGGAAAAAACTGAAATTGAAAAAAAAACAGTGGATGACAAAAATTATGGTTTAAAATAATCTGTAATTGAAGATTGTTTCGTTTTGTTTGCAATCAAATCATCTTGTACTAAATTAATGGATTCTACTATTTTATCGAGTAAAAACGTATTTTCCTTGGCGTGCGCAAAAAGTCGGAGTTCTTTGAGCATGTCCAATGCTTCGTCGTGTTTGATTGTTGATGCACTGCTAGCTTCATTTTGTTCCGAGTTCTCATCTTCACATTCGTCTTCGTTTTCGCTTTCGTCGTCTCGATTTTCATTGTTTGGAGTGTTGAACTCGGTATCACTTTCAGTAATCACTTCATCGTCAATGTGTGCGAATTCTTCTGGCGATAGATCATCAAAACCAGCTTGTTCCATCAAAGCGCGCAGTTCAGATAAAGGAATATTATCTTCGTCAGTATCGTCGATATGTTCTTACTGAAAGCCGGCTTTGCGAAAACAGTTTGGAACCACTTTATCATTTAAACTTTCGATTGCTTCCTTCAACCAAAAAATCGCATCGAGAAATGTTATGCCTTTTACTAAATCCGATACGTTTCTCGCAGTGTCCATTTGGCAAATCAATCGCTTTAGAACTCGTTTTCGTAATGTACTTTTATTGCATTGATGATTCCTTGATCAAGTGGCTGAGTTTGGCTTGTCGTATTGGGTGGCAAAAAAATCAACTGAACATTCGACAATTTCAAATTCGGGTGACTCGATGCGTTGTCCAAAAACAATAAAAATTTTCGTTTTTGAATCATCATTTTCTTGTTCAATTGTATCAAAAACTCTTCCATAATCGATCCAGTCATCCACGCTTTTTTGTTAGCATACCACGAAACCGGTAAATGGTGCTTCTTTACGCCCTTAAAACATCACGGATTTTGAGATTTACCAATGACTAGCGGCTTCTCGAATTTGCCGTCAGCGAAACAGCACAATAAAATAGACAACCTATCCTTTGAATGTTTGCCACCGTAACACTTTTCACCCTTTTTGTGCAATGTTTTCTTTGGTATCGCTCGGAAAAACAACGCAGTTTCATCGCAATTCGCAATGTCTTCGATTTTATATCCAGCAATCATCTCTGGTAATTTCTCCAAAAAGTCATTGACTGGTTGTTGTTGTACATCCTTTGATTCTCCACAAACGGAGGAAAATGTTAACTTGTGCCTGCTCTTGAACGCCTCAAGCCATCCGTTGGAGGCCTTGAAATCGTGTTCACCAATTTCGATTGCAATTTCTTTTGCTTTCACTTGAATTACCGCACCGGAGACTGGCAAATTTTTGGCCAATGCTTGTGTGAACCAATTGTATGTCAATTCATTGATTGTTTCAAACTTTGAACTGCGCATCTTCATCTTCGCATCAACATTTTGCGATGAAAGGTATTCATCGATTATTTCCTTTTTGCCTTTAATAATCTGGTACACAACAGACTTGCCACATTTGTATTTTTCTTTCAAAATTTCGATTTCAATTTTTGCTTCATGATCTTTTATCAGTTGGTACTTTTGTTTTAATGTGAGCCGCGAACGTTGAATAGGTTTATTATCGCCTTTTTTACGATACATTTTGAAGAACGAAAGAAATATGTGAGAGTTATGACTTTTAGAATTAAAGAAGTTCTAATTGTTGGATCGGAGTGTTTTTCGCTTGGGTGCAATTGACGAACTGAACAATAAAATCAAATTTATTGATTGAGTATGGCATGAATATCAAATGTATGGCAAAACTGTCGCATACATAGAGTCGGTGAATAATTCATAGCTATCGAGTCAGCATAAAACTGAATTTCGATTTCTTAGAATTTTTGATTACACAATGCTGTCCAAACAATCGAGCAGTCTAAACAATGACTCAAAATGAGAAAGTAAACGATACATATTTTTTTGCACTGCCAAATTAGCAGCGATAAATTCTGCGTTCACGAAACGAAACAATGATTTTCAACATACTGTAAATGTACTGAATTGCACGCGGCAATCGAGTGGTTATGTTTTTATTGGGAGCGTCGAAAAACTATTTGCTTGAATAACTAAGCAAAGATTTTGGCGGACAAAAGTATAAGATGATACTGAAATCAATGTAATGTACATTGAATTGCAGGTTTTTAATGATGATCATTGGTTTTGATATAAGAAAAAACATGTTTTTAAATAAAAAAAACGAAAAAAAAATTTTTGTCAAGAAATTTTTTTCCACTATTCGCGGTGAGTGTTTTCCGTTATTAACAGGTCAATTTGTATGGAAGAGCTCAATGGCCAAAATTTTTTTCCACTATTGACACGATTTCCACTATTTCCAGGTTCCGTTATTGACAGGTTTTACTGTATCTCTCCCCCTATGTTTATTACACATTATGTGTGTATATATATTCACGCATGCTCATATGCTATTCACTCATATGAATTTGAGAATCTAAAGAATCTCGAATGAGTATTTTATTTGAATATTCATCCCACCGTTATTTCATATTTAATTGAAATTCTGTTGCTTTCATCTTGCTGTTTTATTTATTTTATAGAAATGTATGATAAATTGTGTTACAGTAGAAAATTTAACATAACCTTAATTCAATTCAAATGTTAAATCTCGCAGAAAATGGGCAATTTATGTGTTTTTACCCTATCACTGCAAGAAACAGCTAAATGTTGTACTTAAATAGCTCTTCGAAAGCCTCGGCCTCCCCTCTGGCGCGTTGCCATGTAGAGCCGAATGTAAAGAGTCCATGATCTTTCACGAGAACGCTATACGTAGTGGCATTTTCATGGAATGCTTTACGAATTGCGTCCAGCAGTGCATTTTCGTCAGACACCTGTTTAATGATTGGCAGAAAAACATTACCGTATTTTTCATTTGTTGCTCTATTCCAGATTGCCTGCGTAAAGAATATATTTATGTAAAATCTAAATAGACTCGATTTGAATTTTCTGTACAAACAAACCTTTGTGTTGACGTTTCCTTTAGTTTCGAACACACCAATTTTGTGTTTTTCGGCAAATCGCCTTGCATTTTCTGAGTGTGTATGGACTACAGCCCACAATTATTGATTGGAAACTCGAATGCACCACCACACAAACTATCACCAATCAATAAACAATTATTAGTAATCCACAAAAATTCGTTCAAAGAATACAAAGTTAACTTACTCTTTGAGTTCAGTCTGAACACTACCAATGAAAATTTGTTTGATTTCGTCCTCCAAAATTCCACAAATACCTCCAGTCGGCAAGTAAAATATGTCTTTTTTTGTGTGAATAGAAACACCGCCACCATTAACCGTAATTAACCCACGTGCATAGAGAACTTTCGACACATCGCAAATAATTTGCTTATTGACCTTGACAAAAAATTTAAAATGTAATATTTTTCATTTTAAGCGTATACCAGTATAATGGTTAACTCACCGTTGCTTCTGCATCAAAATCAACTGACATTTTTTACATACAATTATTTTATTATCAATCTTTTAGGCTGCGTTACTAAACTCTTACTCGTGAAGTGTATGTAATGAACAATTATGTGTAGTGACTGTTATCAACTGACTTTTTTCCAATAGGGATTACAATTTGAAAATTTGACAACTTGGCCGTATTATGGTGTCAAACGCGATTGATGTCTACTTCTAATACAACACTTGAGTTAAATCGGTTCGGCTAAATGTACCATGTAAATAAACAATTGTGAGGTTATGTTTACGTTTTGTTTTGAAATATTTTCATTCGCCTGATGGCAGCATGAATCCCATCAGAGAGCCTTTAAATTCGATTTTAAAAAATGATTCGTAAAGTTGTGGTGGGAATTTCGGGTGGAGTTGATTCAGCGGTGGCCGGTTTTATGCTGAAGCAAAAAGGTGAGGCAATAAAATTTCAGGAAAACTGTAAAAAAGTGTACAAATATTCTAATCTCTCTCTCGCTGTGTGTGTAGGCTTTGATGTTCGTGGTGTTTTCCTGAAGAATTGGGATTTAGTTGACGAAACGGGCTATTGCTCAGCTGAACAGGATTGGGAAGATGCACAATATGTCTGTGATAAATTACAAATACCCATTCAACGCATCGATTTCGTGAAGCAATACTGGACTGATGTGTTTGAGTAAGATTTTTGGCATTATTTGTATTGACAATTTCAATCGTAGAACAGAAATAATTTTAATCGGTCGCCACCACAGGAACACTTTAAGGGAATACCAAAATGGTCAGACACCAAATCCGGACGTTTATTGCAATAAATACATAAAATTCGGCGCATTTTATCGACACATCAAGGAAAATTTGGTAGCAGATGCAATAGCTACCGGACATTATGCCCGCACATCGTTTGGACAATTTCTGGAAGATATTCAACCAAATCAAAGTACTTGGAACAAAAATTGAAATTTGAATGAAAAACTAAATGTCGAAATTGATTTTCAATAATCCAATTTTTTTTTGCCAGATGTAAAATTGCTACGAGCCGTTGACCCTCGAAAAGACCAAACATTTTTTCTGTCGCAAATACCTCAAGATGCCTTACGTCACACCATGTTTCCAGTGGGTTCAATGCTCAAATCAGATGTAAAGAGATTAGCCCACCAAATTGGACTCGAATCAATCGCACAAAAGCGTGAAAGTACGGGTTTGATTAAGCCTGTAAATTCAATCATATTTAAGGTGGTCAAAAAGTTAAAATTAGGCGAGTGTAGCGATAATTAATTCATTTCCAATCAGTCCAGCATTGCTATATGGTTGCTGTATTTTTATGAAGATAAAAACCGAACCACCTTAAGTGTAACCTCATCTTAGATGCTCAAAGAAAGTCGCTTTCAAATGATGTATTACTCAAAATGAATAACTTAAAGGATTTTGGAAATGCCAATATCTCAATGTTGACCGATTTTTGAATCGTGAAGCTTTTTTCGATTGTCAGAAACGACGAGATAAAAATTTTATCACATTTTACAGATACGTAAATTTTCAGAAATGGCCAAAATTTTGCTTGTGTAGTATTTTGAGAGCTCTAAACGATGACATATTGGATTTATCATTGGACACAGTGATACACTTTTTTCGGCTTATTACACATTAGGCACAACAAGAATTACTGTTTTTTACAAGAAAATGTTAGAACTTATAAACAAATTCGGCGGATTCATAGAAAGCGAACAATCAGCACATAAAGTGTGCAGTCGATGTTAGCTGATGATTGCAACAAAAGGTGTCAATAGGACTGATTTTGTCCGTCCTTTTGTGATTTTTTTTGGATGGACAATTTCATTCTGTCCGTCCATTTGGGATTGAAAGACGGACAATTTTATTTTGTGTGTCCGTTTATGGATTTGGGACGGACGGACGGACAAAGTCTATGTCCGTTTGACTCCTTTATGATATTTTGTATAAAACAATATCAGAAATAAATTCTCCGTCGAAAAATAAGTGATAACAGGCTATTATTAATAGCTCATCAAATGTTTGAAAAACTTTATTTTCGGGTGCTTTTCGGACGAAGAAAATTAAATTGTCCGTGTTTGAATCCCAAACGGACAGGACAAAAATGAATTGTCCGTCCTTAATATCTGTAAGAGAGATAGATAATTGATATCTGTAAGAGCTGAAACGAAGCTTCGGATTGATTTTGAGCCTATTCTGACCTACCAATTTTGATCTATCAGCCTCGGACTGATGACCTGAAAACCCTTGTAAAATGGCACTTTTGTATGAAAAGCTTTGATCAAAGCAAACTGCCATTTTTTTTATGAGAAATCACCCAAAAAGCCATGTTTTATGGTTTCAGCAAGGGGGAAATCACTCAAAAGTAATACCAAATAGAAAAGTAATACCTCAGTTATTTCTAGTAATACCTCTGGTACTACTTTTGATATTTCTATGAAAAAAGTAATACCGAAAAAAAGTAATATCCAAGTAATACCAAGTAATACTGATCAATAGAAGTAATACACCTGGTATTACTTTTGATTTGTACGGAAAGTAATACCAAGTAATACCATTTATGTAAAAGTAATACCTAAGAGTGATTTGCCCCTCGGGTTTCAGTCAAGGCATACCGATATTATTTTTTTTGCAAAAATATTGGGGGTTTGCAAACAATCAAACATCTACTTTCCCATAAGTTTGGTCTAAAATCGACATTTCTTGAAATTTTCCCCAAAAATGACACTTCTATATGGGAAATCGTCAGAATTGCTATTTTTCAAGGTCAAAACTGCTATTTTTGGCAAAATAATCAGGGATTGTTTGTGCAAGTTTGTGTTTTTACTTTACCGCAAACTTTGTTTGTTAGGTAAAGTATTGGTTTTACTAGCCAAAATTTCATGACATCTCCTCTTTCGGACCACTATAACGTCACGCCAAACTTGAAAAAGCACATATCTGTACACTAGGCAATGTAGATGGGATCAAATCCTATCGATCAAGACCTATCCACCCCCAAAAACATGTTGTTTACTATGAAATATGTGCAAAATAGCGATGTGCGTATGGCGTCGTTCGCGTTCGCGTCCGCGTCCGCGTTCGCGTCCGAGCTTTTTGTTCGCCGATTATCTCAAAAAGTTGACAAGATAATTGAGATCTGTAAGAACCAAAAGTTTTGGCATGTCGAGACAAAGCTTCGGATTGATTTAGAGCCCATTCTGATTTACCAATTTCGTACCATAAGCCTCCGACTGAGGACCTGAAAAACCTTGAAAAATGACACTTTTATATGAAAAATCACTTAAAAAACCATTTTGCAGGATTTTGGTCAAGGTAAACTGACATTATTTTGTGAAAATAATGGGGGTCTGGGAACAACCGAATACCTACTTTCCCAAAAATTTGGCCTGAAATCGACATTTCTTGAAATTTTCCCCGAAAAATAGACTTTTATATGAAAAATCACTCAGAAAGCCATTTTTTAGGGTTTCGGTCAAGGCAAACTAATGTTTTTTTGCAAAAATAATGGGAGCCGTCAAACAACCGAACACCTACTTGCCCATAAATTTGGTCCAAAATCGACATTTCTTGAAATTTTCCTCGAAAAATAGACTTTTGTATGAAAAATCACTCAGAAAGCCATTTTTTAGGGTTTTGATCAAAGCAGACTGATGTTTTTTTGCAAAAATAATGGGAGCCTTCAAACAACCGAACACCTACTTGCCCATAAATTTGGTCCGAAATCAACATTTCTTGAAATTTTGTTCGAAAATGACACTTTTGTATCGAAAATGGTCGAAATAATTATATTTTAAGGTAAAAAATGCTATGAAAAAAGGGTCCATTCAAATTTTGGTTAAACATTAAGCGGGAGGTAAACTAAATTGCTGCGGAGCAGTAAAGTTTGGATTACGTATGTAATTCGTTTTATTTGCATATGCTTTGATAGTAAATTGTAAACAAAACGTTGTTCTTCCGATGTATATGAATTTAATTGCAACATCGGCGTTGGAAATCGTGACGATTATCTCTGGGCGAGTGTCGATGAATCGAACAAATTACGATTTTTCAAGGCTAACGATAGCTGCCTTATGCGATAATGAAAATATACGTCCTGAACGTACTGAAAATATTGCTCAAGACGCGCGAGCGCAAAATTTTTTCCCTCTTCAACAACGTAGCGTGTGTATTCAACTGTGTTTACTGAGAACTACATTAAAAAGGGCGCTCAAAATGATTGAATATATGTTGCAATCAGTTGAATAAACGCTGAAATCATATTGTTTATATTTTGAATTTTAGAAAGGGCGCTTGAAATACAAGCGACACTTGAATATAGTAAAATCGCACCAAAACTTGAACATTGAACACCATTTTCTTCATTTTTGGCGCCCTTTTGAATACATCTCGCGCCTTATCCATGTAATTCTCGATACAAATTTGGGTTTGCGCGCTATATTTTTGAATAGTCCCAAGATTTTGCTTTCACGCGCTTTTCGCAATAATGTAAAATGTTCATTCAAAGTACGGTTTGGAGTCCAACCGTGTGTAACGTTTCCATCGGAGTGGTGCACAGGGGAGGAGTAAGACCGGGTTACCCCCTCCCTTAATTTGTTTCTCGGAAATTTGTCAAGAAATTTTTTTTCTAAATTATTTCAAATTAAAATTAGAATTAATTCATTATTCCTGAAAAAATGGAAATGATTCAGCTATTGTTTTTTATTGTTAACTAAACATATATGTACCAACAAAAAGAGAGGGTTTTTCATGAATCCTATTGGACTCATTTTCCCTGGAAAAACTTGAATATTCAGGTGGTACTTGGCAGTTTCAATAAATGAAAATATTTATCTTATTCTTTGTCAGACTCATTGAAAATATGTATTTTTTAAATAAAAACATATGTGCATTACGCCATCTATAGTGTATTTTGATATTAAAATCTATGTGTTGAGAGAAAAATATAAATTAGCTTTTTTAGTTTACAATAATTTTAAGGATTGCCTAGTTTTTGAGAAAAAAAGTAACATTGAACAATTTATAGGTGCTCTTTAATGTGATGTTTTCATCATCAATATACAAGTTTGTAAGTTGTTTGCGGAATTAAAAGTTGACGTCTAAACTGAATGGAATTATCAGACAAATGAAACTAATGAAACGTCAGATTTCATCAAAGAGCTGGTTGTTTTGTTACAGTATGAAGGGAAAGTTATCCCACGTTTTGATGCTTAAAATACGATGACGGAGACAGTAACAATAGGAATCAAAACAACGGAAAATGCCAAATTGATTAGTTGTAACAAAAACTGATGTGAAACAAGTTTTGATTTGTGTGTGCCATAAATTGTTTCTTTAATTTCTACAATACCACATCATCACCATTCGATCATTTCACCATCCGACACGAAGGGGAATAATTGAGATTAGGATTCAGAAAAAATAAATCGGGAGTTGAGAACATCCAAATGCCTATTCGTGCAATTTCCTATACAAAGTTATTTAATAATGAATTTGCGTGGCATTCCCGTACGGCGATCGTTGAAAACAAAAATTCTTTTCCTTTCCTTCGTGTTCGCTACATTCGTTTTATATGTAAAATTCATAACGAAAAGTACAGATGCTACTGAAAATGAATCGAACATTCATTCGGAAAACCAGAAATTGATCGGAGGAGATATAATAAATATTGAAAACCAACAACCATTGATAGTGGATGAAGATGAAGAGGATGTGGGTCAAAGTGTTGAGCTATACAAACAATACATAGAAGCCGACATGGCGAAGCAGATAAAGGGATTAGGTGACAATGGACAAGCCGCTTCACTTGCAGAAGCAGCGTCAAAAGAAATTGGGGAAAGTCAATTGAAAAAGATTGCACTGAATGAAGAGCTAAGTGAGCACATAAGCTACAATCGCTCACTTCAAGATGCCCGCAATCCTTTGTGTCGATCACAATACTTCAACTTAAATGAGCTTCCAACAACAAGTATCGTTGTCATATTTTACAATGTAAAGTAATCCATTAATATTATTGATCCTGTATTCCAATCTATAGTCATTTTATAATACACAATATCAAACTAGGAACCCTACTCTGTGTTGGTGCGCACAGTCCACAGTGTGCTTAATACGGTAGATCATCGTTTACTGAAGGTTATCAAATTCTATTTGAAAATTTTACAATTTTTCATTAATGTTCATTATTTAAAAAAATTTGTTATTAGGAAATTATTCTAGTTGACGATTGTAGCACAAATTATGTCTTGAAAGAAAAACTAGATTACTATGTTCATACAAGACTTCCAAAGAATATTGTAAAAATTGTTCGGTTAAAACACAGGTTAGTATCATGAATTCACACTTGCAGAAAAAAAATTGAACAGTAACTCTACAAAAAAAAAAAAAATTCAACAATTTCTTATATATTCAACAAAATTTAAGAAGGAATTTGTTGAATGTGGATGAAATGTCATAAAAACCGGTTAGAATAGTGTTACGGTGAAAGGATAAAATATTCTTATGTATACAGCATTTTTTCTGATTATGATTATTTGTTTTCAGATTGGGTCTCATTCGAGCCAGACTTTCTGGAGCTCGTTTGGCAAGAGGAGATGTTTTAGTGTTTTTAGACGCCCACTGTGAAGTATTTCACATTAAATACCTGTATACCACTGATCAGATGTGGTAATTAAATTTTCATTTACAGGCAAACATTGGTTGGATAGAACCTCTATTAGCTCGAATCAAAGAATCTCATAAAAGCGTTTTAGTTCCAATTATTGATGTAATTGATGCAAAAGACTTCCATTATAGTATCAATGGCTTCCGAAATTTCCAGGTAACAATCACTGTTGAATACTACAAAAATCTAAATTACTAAAAAGTGTTTTTTTAAATTGTTTTTTTGATATTGAAATAAAAAACACAAATTCCGGTATATTTGTCGTACTGCTTGGTTTATTTGATAGATAAATTCATACCATATAATGTCCGACATACAGTTTGGGGATATGACCATCCTTTTTAGGGGGTCTTCAGGAAACTAAATTTTTCGACCTATTTTTTTGTCTTTTTCCTGCTTATAATCAGAGTTTGACTCAGGCGATAGATATATGCTTTAGCATAGAAAAAATATCCGCATATTTTTTGGTTTGTCCACTCTCAGTATATAACGGCACCCAGCTTCATCGAGTATCAGCATGCACACTGAACGTGGTAGTATAGGGCGGTTTGTTTACGAAGAAAAAAATTGTTTATAAACAAAATCTACCAGAACTATACAGCCCAAAACCTTAACATAGGACAGCATTGCTGCCGTTTAAATACATTGCGCCGTACAACCCTGGAAGATTTTGTTTATAAACAATTTTTTTTCTTTGTTAACAAACCGTTCTGTAATCTATATTACTACGTTCAGTGTGCGTGCTGATACTCGATGAAGCTGGGTGCCGTTATATACTGAGATACTGATTGTGCAAGAGATTAATTAATCATATCAAAAAAAAATCGAAGAAAAAGTTTCATACAAAAAACATGTCAATTTTGGCCAGACCTAACAAATGTTGAACAAAAATGGGTCTGGCAAAAATCGAAATGTTTTTTGTATGAAACTTTTTCTTCGATTTTTTTTTTCGATATGATTAATTAATCTCTTGCACAATCACTTAATCATGATTAATAGCGATTAAGTGATTAAGTGCCGTCTTAATCATCCGAAAAATGATTGTGCAAGTGATTAAGTAATCGCAAAACGCCCACCTGTAGAGAGTGGACAAACCAAAAAATATGCGGATATTTTTTCTATGCTAAAGCATATATCTGTCGCCTGAGTCAAACTCTGCTTATAATTGACGACAAAAGTTATTTCGTGCTCAAAATATGGTCGTGTTTTGGCCTAAATTTGCATGAAATAACGAAACAAATACGAATTAGCCCAAAACTCATTAGTACAGATTGACAAAATCTGTTTTTGAGCAGTAATCTGGTTTCATCGAGCAGTCTCTATTCACAGCCATTTGGGTAATACCCAAAAACAAATTTTCCACTGTTTTTGACCAAATCGGTCTGGTTGGTCACCAGATTTAATAAAATGTCCATATACCGTCTTAATCATCCGAAAAATGATTGTGCAAGTGATTAAGTAATCGCAAAACGCCCACCTGTAGAGAGTGGACAAACCAAAAAATATGCGGATATTTTGAGCAAAAAAATCAATTTACTGAAGAAACTGTCTCCTGATAGGTTTTTTTTTCCAAAATTCCGAATATGCAATCTGTACATCATCCAACAAAATGACCCTATTTTACGGCTACTCTCCGTGGGGATACATGAATTCTTTTGAATGAAACGATTTACACTTCAAAGTCTAACAAACTTCATGAAATTGTGAGAATATGACCTCAAAATCTTCCAAAATAGCTCAAAAATGGACTGTCAGGAGGGGTGGGTAAAAAAGGAGGGGAGATGGTCATATCCCCAAACTGAATGTCGGACATTAAATGGTATGAATTTATCTATCAAATTAACCAAGCGGTGAGATCAAAATATCGGAATTTGTGTTTTTTATTTCAATATCAAAAAAACAATTTAAAAAAAACACCCTTTACATTTATTTTACATACAATTAGGTCGGCGGTTTTACTTGGAAGTAAGTTTGAACTCAAAAGATAGCGGTGTTAGTAATAGTTAGAAGATGATTAAATTTGTATTAATTCAATACTGCAGTGGACACTTTGACTGGATTAATGTACCAATGAAAGAAAAGCAACGTCTTATCAAAAATTGTGGAGAAAAAGCAGACATTTGCCCAACTTACAGTCCAACAATGGCCGGAGGTTTGTATTTTAGTATTTTATTGACACCACCAAAAGCTGGCTGAATAAATTCCAAATTATTTCAATTAAATTCATTCAATTTGATTTAAATTAATTAATTGTTTTATTGGTTTAGGATTGTTCGCGATATCCCGTGAATATTTTTGGGACATTGGTTCTTATGACGAACAGGTAAGCAACATTAATTTCTTTGTGGATTTCACTTTTGAATGATTATTTCATTTATATTCAAAAATTTCATCATTTCATGAATATTAAACAAAATTGACGACCAGATGGACGGATGGGGAGGTGAACAGAATTTTGTTATTTATTTTCCAAAAACTGATGGATTCAATCGGAAAGCTTTACCTACACACAAGCAATTCGCGCGAGAAACTGGGGAATATTTGCTCCTATACGGAATAAACATAGAACACTTGTGTGCGTTCACTCCAGTTCAGAGCGGTTGTCAAACTTACTAACACATACGCAAGCTTGCTAGTGACTCAATAGTAGAGTAATGTCAATACGTTTATTCCAGTGTGGTGCAAACCAGCGTGCTATGAAATAAATGTATATGTCTTTTTTCCCCTACTGAGTGACTACCAAGCTTGCGCATGTGTTAGTAAGTTTAACAACCACTCTGAACTAGAGTGAACGCACACACGTTTACTCCAATACAGAGTGTTTTATGTTTATTCCGTATAGGAGCAAATATTCCCCAGTTTCTCGCGCTAATCGCTTGTGTGTACATTTTGAATTGTTTTTATTTCAGTGCAGACAATTTATACGTACATTTTCAAAATTTTAATTTTCCTACCTTTCTTTTCAAGGTGAAAACCTAGAAATGTCATTCCGCATTTGGCAATGTAAGTTTCTGAAAATGCATTTACAAAATTAAAAATGACATAAATTGATTTAATTTTAAGGTGGAGGTACCATAGAAACGATGCCTTGCTCACGTGTCGGCCAGTATGACCTACAATATCTTTTCTTCTAATTACAATCAATGAAAACTTCTTTCTAACTGTGCGATTAATTTTTTTCAACAATTCAGCATTTTTCGTGACTTCCATCCATATGAGTGAGTGCTTTTGTTCAAAATGATAAAATTTTCAAAGAATGAAAACCATCAGCTCAATTATTTTGCAGGTTCCCTGATAATCGTGAGTGCTTTTATTAAAAATGATGAAATTTCCAAAGAATGAAAAACATCAGCTCAATTTATTTGCAGGCGACACCCATGGTATCAATACTGTGAGGTAAAATTACGAAGTTAATGAGATGGTTCTGAAAATATTAAAATGTGTATATTTGAAAATGTGTTTCTATAGGTTGGCAAATGTTTGGATGGATAGCTATGCCGATTTGTTCTTCCTAAATCGCCCTGATCTGAAGGTAAAAATAATGGAATTCAATGCTATGCAGGAGTACGACACTTTTGACCAAACTTCCGTACTATAATAAGGTCTTCAGGCTAGTGTTGGCCTTCGAACACATTCGAACACTTGTTCGACCGTTCGTCAACATAAAAAGAAACTGTTTTGTTCGTTCGGGAAGTAGAAAAATATTTTTTCGTTCGTTCGTTCGTTCGTGAAATTGAAAAAAAATTTTTTTGTTCGTTCGTTCGTTCGGAGATTCAGAAAAAAATGTTGTTCGTTCGTTCGTTCGGATAATATGCTACGGTCGAACATGTTCGGATTTTATTGAATCAAAATATTGGAAAATTTCTGTTTTATGCAAAACTATTATACAAATCATTCATCTAAATAATTTAAAGAAAGTTCATAAGACCATTTCGTGCCAAAACCAAATTGGAAACAGTTTCTGGCAGGATATTGGAACGGGCTCGTTCTAAAACGTA